AAAAAAAAAAAAAAAAGGACCCATAACACATGTTGGCTTTGCATGTGATCATGAATGTAACGCTCATTTATTTTTCTTTTTCTATTGTTGGTCTATCCACAAGAATTAATGATCCAGGAATTGAACTTTTGTTTATTCGAATAGATAATATTGCATATGACAAGAAAGCACTGAAGGATGCAATATAGGATCAATAATGTGGATAAAAATCTTGAAAGATTAAAATTAAAATCGCAACCTAGTTAAAAGAAGATGTTACTCTTTTTTAGTCTTTTTTCATCTGTTTAAAATTATGGTATGTAGAATTACTAGGTACTTGTAAATAAATTAAGGTGCACATAAAAAACAAATACTACTGATATTGTACGAAAACAAAGCCAGACCTACGACCCGCTCCATTTATAGTAAAAATACCCGAACCCGTCCAAAGTTGATCTCCCTCACTGTGCACACTACTAAGTACAGACTTTCTTTCTAGATCCGAATAAGAAAGAGAGACAGAAGAATTATAGAGAGAGAGATGTTGAAGGCCGCTTTATATTTCTCTTCATACCTACACTTAGACTATTTAAGGAAAACTCTTTGACTAAGATACAGTATTACTTTCCTTTTTCCCATTTCTTGACCTTGGAGTTTGGAACTAAGTTCTTTGCTTTCTGCTCCTTTTTTCAGGTATTTCTTTTCTTCTTTCCCTACTTTTTTTTTTCTGTTTCAAGGTCTATTTTTGAAGATTATTTCTTTCTTATTGTGTGGTTCTGTTGAGTGTTTGAATTTGTGCTACAACTAGTGTTAGCTCAATTCTGTTTCTGTGGATTACAAGTAGTGTGATGAATAATAGGAATATTAGTTGCTTGATACATAAAGTTTGATCTTTTTCTGGTAAATCGACTGCTTGTGCAAATGGGTTTGTGTAATTCAACGAGTAATTAAGTCTTTTGGGTGTAATGTTTCTTAGGTTGAAGTTCTCCTCTTGGACTAAATTTATTTGGGGTTTAAGTAGTTGGAATAATTGTCCTAGTCTAGTCATTACATTTATGGAGGTTGGTTTTTTGTTGGTAGGGTTTTTCCCTATATTAATCAACATTCCATATTCTGTGTTAATTCCTCAATTCCAGTAGTTAATTTAGGGAATCAAGAAATATACTTTTATAACTGTGACTATGGAGTAGTTTGATCCAATTTTCATTCGGGTCGACTCGCTATAGCATTGCAAGGATTATGAGAATTATGAATTTGATGCTAATTAAGACAACTTTCTTAGAAGTGGTTGAACAAAATATTGGGCCTTTTTTCCATGAAAGCTATCTCTCAGCACTTATCTTTTATGAATAGCATTATACAAGGACATGGAAGTGGCTGAACAAAAAAATTGTGCCTTTTTCCATGGAAGCCTTAGCACTTCTCTTTTACGAATGGAATTCGTAAAGGCCTCAATTGCGCTCGGTTTGCCTTTTCCCTCTTATTTTAATGAAGAAAACTTCACATTTTTGTTACTGGCATCATTAAAATTTAGGGTAAGCATATTCTTTTATCAGAGATTATGAGTAAGTATATTGTTTCCTATTTATCTCGATTAACTTTTTTTCCTTATTAAACTGGAACTAGTGGTTTAGTTGGATTATGATATAATATTATGGTCAATGCACCAATTTTTTTTGGAAATAACAAGTTAGTTTCCGTGCAGCGTGCACCTTGATGATGCGCCTAATATTATTTCCTTTCAAATGGATTGACTGAACTAGAATAGGTATTGCCCGGACAAACCATCTCAGAGATAATGATAATAAGGCATCACATGGAATTAGTTTCTTACACAAATTTGCAACCCGCCATTCTCTCTCCCCCTGTTTAGTTTTTCACTTCCCTTATCATAAGGAGGTGAGGTAGGATATCGTGATTACATCCCAAGTACAGCTGGTCTTCTTGCTTAGAAATATTTAGCCAGCCTATAGTTTACCATATATTATACCTAGTTGACAGTTGACTTCAGAAAAAAATAGATCACTGATTGTCAGCCTATGTGGTGCCATATGTCTGTCAGCTACATGGGAGCTGAAATAATTTAGACTTCTTAAACATGGCAGTCTCGCGCCTAATTTCCATATACTACTCCGTCCATTTCAATTTATGTGTTTTACTTTCCTTTTTAGTTTGTATAAAAAAGAATGTCTCGTTCTATATTAACTCTTTAACTACAACTTTCCACATGGCATATTTAAGTCCACTAGATTCAAGGGTTTTTTGGTACATTATACACATCGTTAGTTTAAGACCACAAGATCGAAAAGTCTTCTTTACTTTCTTACAGCTTGTTTGGATGGTTGTTCGTCGTTGTATAGTACTGTATTCTTTATCCCAAAACAATATTTGTTTTGATTGTTCATTAAAATTGGTTGTATTGTATTGTTAAATCAATCGTTCCGGAACAATAAAAAGTCCCATTTTTTGAAACAACCGATTTGGTGTGGTGGGATTGTTTCCTATTTTTCTTTCCAATTATGCCCTTACTCCACAATTCTATTTTACCCTTTGTCTTTTTTTCTATTTTAACTCGAAATCTCCAATCTATAACCTACTTTGTTTTTTTCCAGACCAATGTTAAAGGTGTTTTGCTGCCTTCTGTTTTATTTTTTCTCCTAATTTGCTTTTAACTCAATTCTAATTAGTTGTGCTCTTTTATTTTGCCTTCTTCTGTCTCGCTCCTTTGTTCTGCTTTCTTAAGGTATTTTGCCTTCTTCTGTTTTGTTTTTTTAAATTATTTTTATGCATAATTTTTGATAAATTTAATATTTAAACAATTGAGGGTATTTTAGTAAACTTATTACATTACGATACAGTCAAACCAAACAACAAAGTATTATTCAACAATAACAAACAATACAATCTATCCAAACATTGTATTCATAAAACAATACGATACAATACGATACGATACAATACAATACTTTATAAAACGATGGGGAACAATGATCCAAACAGAGTGTTAAACTCTGTGCCCAGTCAAACTAACACATAAAGTGAAACGGAAGGAGTACTTGAAACAGAACGATGTTTAGGCTCCTTAACAAGGTTTGCTGGTGCGGTGGGAAAGGAGGTTATGATATTGTAAAAGAGTCCTGTTGTTCTCCTTTTAGATTATAAAATAATTTAATAGCTTTGAGCTCCTTCACAGTATTCCTAGGCGAGCCCCTACTGATCACACTATTCCTGATAATTCTGTTTAAGCAACTCGAGTATGAACATTGTATCTTTCGAACCCGAGTGGGTTCTTTACTATATGGGGATCTACTACAGTGAACAAGTTAGGTAGGGGCTCTTTTGATATTGCGTTGTTGCTCTTCGATTAGGCAAACCAGTCCAACTGTGGCAGAACATTATGGCCTTAAAATTTTGGCCATATCATGTTGACTATATAGAGATTCAAACTATTGTCAGTTTTACTAACGTTTTGGGAAAGTCAAGTTCTGGAGGGATTGGTCACTAGTTATTTGTCAGGCACGAATAGATCTTGAAATGTCTATAGTTTTTCCTTTTGGTGAATTTAAACAGTTGATCCATCCTGATCTGGAAATGTATTCGCTACTTCCAAATGACTCCTCTCTTGTTAGGGATTCTCCTAATTGTTTGAGATACCTCTTTAGCCAAGAGATGTAAACACTAACATAAATTCCAGCTTTTTCAAAGTTTTCAATGTGAACAATGGTCCGCTGCTTCTTACAGCAAAAGTTTACTTTCTTAGCAAATCTAAAACTTAATATAATGGTAGATTCCATCAGCACTAGTTTCTCCAACCCACTAGCTAGCTTAAACCTGCCAAATGCATTGTATAAGCTGGAGACATTATATTATGCTCTGAATATATTTGACAGGTTGAGACCACGTTTTTTATTTGATTGATAACTAAATTGCCTTGAAGCTGTTGAGTAGTGCTTGAACTGATATGTAACTCTGCTTGTTGACAGATTCAATAACTCTTTGCATACAGGTAGTAAAACTCACCATGTACAAGCAGTCACCCAGTAGGAACCATAGATCCAAAGGAATCAAGCTTAAGCATGTTTTACAAATCTGTTTGTTGCTTGCTGTTTGCTTTTGGTTGATTTACCAGGTCAAGCACTCCCATGATAAAAAGAAAGAATTTGATGAAAATGATGCTAAGTTTCCCATAAAGACTGAAAGTAGCAATGAGCCTGTGAAATTTGGAAGGAAAGATCTCCAACCCCGGATTGAGGGATTTGATACAGTTAATGAGAAGCATAAAGACGAACCAGAAGATGAAACAGTGGAAGATGAAGAAGGGAATAAGCCTGAGGAAGAAGATCTAGAAGAGGAGAACAAGATTAAAGAGAAGAATGTTGAACACACAGAAGATGGAGAAGACGAGGTCAATGATCACGATCAAGAGAAGTCTGATGTAGAGGTGGATCAAGAAGAGGATATTGTTGATGAAGACAAGGAAAGAGGAGAAGATGATGAGAAGGAAACTGAAGAGAGAGATCCTGAAGTGAATGATAGTCAGATGGAGGAAGAGAATTTGTTGGAGGACCATGATCATGATGAGGATTCGAGCAGTTCGCATGAGGCGCGTGAAGAACATTATAAAGCAGATGATGCTTCAAGTGCAGTAACTCATGATACAGTCATAACAACCACTGAAAATGATAGTGGTAAGATAGAAAAAGAAGCAGAACATGCTGCTGAAGTGACGAGTGAAGTTGGTGTTAATAACAGTATGCAGATCAATACTGGCCAAAACACAACAGCAGACGTTAAAGCAGATGGAGAAGGCAGTCCTCCAAACACAACAAACAGTGAAGAAAAGCATGATGATCCAATCTCATCCACTGCTACAGATGCTTCGGTTTCAAATTCCACAATAACAGAAGGATTAACGGATAACTCTGGATCGAGAACCCACTCGACAGAAGTGAGCACACAGATGCATGATATATCTCTACAGAATGGAACCCAGGCAGTTACTCAAGAATATAATGCTACTGTAGAGGACACAACTTCTGGAGGTTCCAGCCTATCAATTAGTTCTTCACAGCAAAGAAGCAACCCTACAGATATGGCGGATAATCAACTTGTTTCTAATTTATCATTTTCTTCTAAAAACGATGGGGTAGACTCAACCCCGGTAGATTCTTTGAACGTGTCTGGTGATACGGAGTCTTCTCTGGCTGAAAAAGTCATCCGGGGTAATGCAACTGTTGAAGCAGTAGATAACAATGTGACTGAGGTTGAGAATACAGATACTAGTGATGAAAATGGAACTACTGATGAAGGCGTGGATGCTTCAATTTCTGAGAATTTGGGAGAAGTTCAAGATGATCCGATTGATACTTCTGACTCGTCCACCCACTTGGAAGAGAAACATATCCGCACGGACTTGGAAACTCTTCCTGAAATACAAACTGAAGGAAACATGGAAGATGCTGCAGCAGAGTGAAACTGTAAAATTAGAGGGTAGTGTGTTTAGTTTTGGTGATAAGAAATTCACATTTTTCGTTTTTTATTTTATTTTGACGAATGTGCAAATTTTAAAAGTTGTTATAGACTACGTGAATGTTGCTAGCAAAATATAGGCAAGAGTGAAAGGTTCAATTTGTATAATCGTTTCTAGCCTCTTATATTACCAGTGTGTGTTCCATCTCGCTTTTATCTTTTTCGATCCTGGTAATGATTGTGCTTCTCTTAAAACCCTTGTGTTGAATCCCACATCGTATCTCACATCGGTAGGATGTGGATCGTCTTGGGCAATCCTCACCTCATCATCAATTAGCTTTTGGGGTTGAGTTAGGCCAAAGATACATTTATCAACTTGTGCAGTATATTGAAGCAGAGATGATGCTATGTGTTGAATTAGTGGCTAAAAGATTGAAAGTACTAGCTTCTCAAAGTAACCATGAACCTATTAGTTTCAAAATGGAAATGAAAGGTCATTTAAGGGCTAAGTTCAGCTATAGCCAATGTGCTAGAATCCTAAAACCGAGCTGCTTAAATATTGCAGGTGTCACATTAAGTTGACAGTCGCAAATTCAGTTATCTAAGACATGGTCATTTGTCACGCTCTAAAGAGGTCGGCCCAACAAAAAAGCGGACCCGAGTGATAAATCTCTCCTATAACACTTGTGAAGCAAAAACAATTATACGGGAGAAATTAAAAAAGGAAAACTTACACAAATGTCCCAAATAAATCTCAACTTACTAACCTCTAGCCATTAGTCATAGACTTACCAAAACTAGCCAACAAAAATTAAAAAATCAAATAATAGGGTTCTTTCTCTCAAAGAATCACATGAAAAAATCACCTTCCATATTTTTAAGCGTGATTAGCAACATTAGATACAAGACGGAAAGGAAATTTCACGGACAGGGTAGCAAATAAGGTGATGAAATACAAAAATCTATACAATATTCCAAAAATCTAAACAAAAAAGGAACTTTTTCAATGGGTATAGTTGAAATTCATTGAAAGTATATAGATAAGTCAATATACAAAATTTGTGGAAGATTGGAGGTGATTTGGACTGGTTTTGTATCAAAATTTGTAATTAAATCGAGTTCAAAAAAGTCTTCTGCGACACATGTATCAAACAAGTATCACGCATGTATCTCACACACAAGTATACATGTGATGACAATTGATACAATATGATATATATGTGATACACAGTGTGATACACATATCATTTTTTTTCATGTTCAGCTTTTATTTCGAATTTTTAGTTCAAACCACCTCAAAACTTCACCAAATCATCCCAAAACTGAGATTCAAGCTCCTTACTGCACTACTTTTTTTTTTCTATCTTTTTTTCATTCTATTCTTCAACCTAGATAAGTAATAGGGTGAAACTAATGGATCGACCATTTGCTCATTTGTCCATGGAGTCCAACATTACTGAATCAAACTTCATTCCTTCCCATACTTCATTTTTCTGTCATCTGATCATTTCAAATACCCATACTCTTGAATATTTAATAGGATGACAAGGTAGAAGCATTATCAATTTAGTAATATACACGTCAATATAAAGAATTTTTTATATTATCAGGTCAAGCGAAAAAATATCTACAGAAAGTAAGCATGTGAGCAGCTATAACAGGTCAAAACTAATATTTCTAACACTAATGACGATGTATATTGTATAGGTCAAAATCTGACCGTAGTAATGGACCAAGCTGGGACCTCGCCCATGTGGTGAAATAACGAAAAGCACCACGAGCAATCCCAGTCAAATCATTGACAGTGTATGACAAGTAAAGGTGGTATTCGAATAACGCCGAAAAAGGCCGTCATGCGAAAGTACATTGGTCAAAGAACACAGTTAGACTCCAAGAACTATATATAGAAGGGAATTCTCAGGAAAAAGGGGGCGGGACTTTTTCCTTTCTATTTTTTCTCCTATAGTCTCTTCTGGTGAAAGATGTGAACTATTTCTTTTCTTCCCCGGATCAAGGATGAGATTGTAACATCAATAAATTAAGAGTGTTCTATTTTCCAATCATGATCTCTCTATATACTTTTAGATCTGAAGTTAATTATGCTTGGTTAAGATTTATCCTTTTTCTCATCATTAATTGATTCAATTATAAGGCTCAACACTTTTTGGTCGAACAATATGGCACCGTCTGTGGGGATTTCTTAACCAAATTCTTTAGTTTCCTTCAAATCCAAAATCGGTGAAACATGATCACCACCAAGAAGAATGGTAAGTAAACCTCACGTGCTAATCTGGATCATGATGCAACACACAAGCAGAAGTTATAGCCAACATCCACGCAAATCCCACAGGAGGAGAACGAGCACATCCTGCCCTACTCTAACACCCTCCCCCGCACACCGGGTGGTCCACGAATAAGCTAAGGCGAACCCAACCCACACGGAGCTAGAGCACAAAAAGAGGGGGAAAGAGAGCCGAATACGGCCACCGAGTTTAGAAACCACCATCCCATCAGCCATTTAAATGCCAGGCAGAGCGAGCAACGCTATAAGTCTACCCTCGTTCACCAATTCATCGGATCGAGGTAAGGAAAATATCATTGTGTTTCACCTTCTGTTGCTTGCCTAAACAGGGATACAAGCGCCGCGCGGGCAAACAAGCAAAGGAACATCTCAACTAGAAAATGGAAAACTACTACAAAATAACTGGAATATCGCCCAACTGACACCCCAACTTCTGGAAAATGACGCCCCTTAAGTCGAACTCTCTCTCCTTCACCCAGGTGTTGTCCCAATAAGGTTTTCCCGGGGAGGTTATCGAGTCGACTAGGGGGACGTCACCGAAGTTCAAAGTATAATACATCGCCTCGCATGCCAATGGCACCTCCAGACCGGAAGACGAAAGGACTAGACGGGGAAACTCCAATACACGCATAAAACGAACGTGAGCAAAATAACAACGTTTTATACCCTCCGACATCACTCTCTCCGATGCAAACAAAATCAATCGAACTAGGACTCACCCAGGAAACGTAGAGGTTGAGCAAAACCGGGACTCCTCTAGGGGACACCCGAAACTCTTAAAAAGAAAAACTGGGACTCATAACGGGTTAATATTTCGACCAGCTCGAAATAACACCTCTACGGCCAAGGGCCATCGCCAAAAAAGAAGAGCTCGACCTCGTTCGAACTGCAACGGGTTAATATTTCGACCAGCTCGAAATAACACCTCTACGGCCAAGGTCCATCGCCAAATAAGACAAGTTCGACCTCGTTCGAGCCCAATAATGTCTTTGTAGCTATCGGCCGCCGTCGTGCCTTTTTCCTTCTACTTATTAAAAATTTGATTTCGCTACAAACTTCAAGTTCGACCTCGCTCGGATACGTATATAAAAAAAAACCGACTTCGCGGCTATTTAAGACGGTTTAATGCCACGCGAACGACTCAAGTCAAGACTAACTTCGTCTAAAACAGCGAAATTATATCAACTCATTTGAGTCAAAGGCGAATCTGCTTAAAGCAATAAGTCACCAACTCAATTCCGCCCCAAATAGGAGAATCAAATGAGACTCCATTCGGAGTCACGATGAAGTCCCACTCAGTCCGGTTAAAATTGGTTTCCCTGAAAAATCAAGAATCCACCATGCGAAGATTCGAACATTTACGCCAGAGATGTAAAGCAAAAGGGGAAGAGATACAAAAGACGTACAACGATGAAAGCTCCTTTATTTAAAACAGTTGTGCAAATAGTTGCAGGTTATACACGGCTAAAACCAGTCCAGTACAAAATAAAATTAAAAAAAGAAGAAAAAGACAACAACGACAAACAAGAAAAAACAACAAAGATAACTTATTTACTCGGCGCCATCACCGCCGTCCTCCGGTGTCGCGGGATCATAACTACAGTTAACACGAGCCTCTCGTGCCTTCGCACGAACTCCTTCATAAGCGGCCTCAGAAACATTGCCCGCTTCCCACAAACTCTTGTATATGTCCCACTGGGCTTCGGCATGAACCCAAAGTTCGTGCAAATGGCGAGGAACAGCGGCGGAGGAGGATTCAACTTGGGCCAATAATTGTGCCTTTTCGGCCTCAAGAACTGCAACCCGATCTCCCAAAGTTGAAGCTTCCCGGTCAATGTCGCCAATACGCTCTTCGAGCCTCGCCTCCCTGACAGTTATCGTCGCCCTCTCAGACTCCTGCTCGGATTGAAGGACACGGATAGCGTCCTCTAAATCCGCCGCCTTGGCCGAAGCTGCTGCCCAAGCACTCTCGACACTCTCCAACTCGGAGACCTTTCTCTCTAACTCGGCTAATTTCCCCATCCACTCTGCGCTCAAAGCCTCGACTCTGGTGGCATTAAGATCCAACTCGGACTGCAACGACCGCACCTTCGCCTGAAGATGCTCACACTCTGCGGCGACCCCTTTGCCCGATTCAAGTTCTTCGTCCTTTACACGAAGTTGCTCCTCGAGCTCACTATTCCTGCGAATAGCCTGCATCAGCTCCTGATCCCTATTCCCCAGTTCCTCACCAAGAGATCGATCACCAGCGTTCGCCCTCAGCCGCTCGTGCATCTCACAGCACTTGTTGCGGTAGCGCCGGTATTTCTCCAACATCATCAGAAAAATTTTGGCCCGGGTGTCGGCCCCGGAACACTTTCAATCTCCACCATGTACGTCTGAAAGACGAAAATAGTTGGTAAAGGCCAAGGCCACCAAAAATAAAAGGAACGCAAAAAGAAAGAAGAAAGACTTACCCTCAGGCCCATAGCAGCCACTTCGTGCATCAAATCGACGTCGCGAACGTCCCTAAGAGCCTCACACTCGGCGACAGAGCACAAAAGGTCAAACTGCAGTACCAAGTCCTCCGTGTCTCCCAGAAGGTTAATCTCTGACGAGATTTCGAGTATACGGGTCGGGCCTCTCGCATGAACCACCGTACGAGTAAGGCCTTCCTCGAACATCCTGACATCATCAGGATCAAGATTGGATTCAGATTCGTAGTCATCGACCACGACACCTTTTCCCCTTTCTACGGCCGAGGAAGAAGCATGACCTAGTCCGGAAGATGAAGGCCCGCCCAAAGTAGCAACAGCGGCCTCGGGATTCCGACCCCCCGCCGCAGTAGTCTGTTGGTCAATCATAACTGTCGGAGTCTCTGTCGATGGGTTGGTCACGGTAACCGGCTCTACCTCTGCAGATGGGTTA